TATCCTCCCCTGTCAGTCTTACTCCCCTGTCAGCCTCACTCCTCTGTCAGCCTTTCTTCTCCTGATCAGCCGGTCACCTCTCATGGTGCCTGAGGGACGGGGCCACTGTGGCTGATCTGGTGGGAGGACTGGAACCATTGGTTGAGGGGGTGAAGTTTCCACAGCTTTCCAGGGCTCACGTGAACCTTATGTCCCTGGGGCTTGTTGCCAGTTCTGCCGTGGGAAATGTCTTCATTTTACCTGGTTTTCACTGATCTTGGTCATTAAAAGCAAAACAAAACAACACATGACACAACACAACTTTTAAGGCAAATGCTCCATGGAGGTGTGTTCTAATCTGTTTCAAGAAGCAAGTGGCTTTCCTTTCAATGCAAGAGTCAAACTAACACCCTTCCTAATGTCCTCCCTCGCAGGCTACCCTGTCGACTTTCTGGAAGATGACCCCGAGGGGCTCCGGGAAGCAGCTGTGGCTTACCAGGCCTCCCTCCAGAAGGCAGTGGGTTCCCCTGCGGAGCTTATCACTCTCCCTACAGGGGAGCAGGTACCTACCTGTGAGCTTCGTGTGTTGTGAGCTCTGTAAAACCTGGCTTCTAGAGCATTACTGTGCAAGGATAAAAACCTTTTCTCATCCCACCTTGTAGGTCTCTGGCTGCTCTAATCACATTAGTGACATGAGACTGATTAAGAGGTGAAAGAAAATGCTGATTAACTTCCTAGCGTGGAGACCTTATAGATAGGGTCCCTGGAGAAAGGACCAGAGCCTTTTGCTTTCTAGCCTTCTCAGATGAAGTAGAATTGAGAAGGAAAACGGGGTTAGGCCTGCAGGTTATAAAGAAGTAGCCACCTCTGCTTCCCTCTTCCTTGCCTCTTCTGCCCTGTGCTCTCGCTGGCAATGAGGATGTCCTGCATCCTTCAGTTTTGTTTTTTTTTTAAAGATTTATTTATTTATTCGTACAGAACTGGGGTACAGATCAGAGATGCGGAGGGTGAGAGGATTCACCAGAGACAGAGTGGGGAGCAGAACAGGCAGATCTACGAAGTACACTGCTGAGGGGAGCAGCGGGCGGGTCAGGAGAGGTCTGCCGCGCCATGTGGTCACCTCCGGGGCAGGCGGGGATCGAACTCATGCGGAAGCGGCTTAAGCTTCTCAGTGCAGTGCTGTAACCCACTGCGCCACCAGGGAGGGCCCATCATCCTTCAGTTTTTTACAGTGGGATTTCACCTGCTTGCGAGGAGGGCCCCTGACACTGTTCTTGCAATGGCTCTTTCTTAAGTAAATCTGTATGCCAGTTTGGCATATGGCCCATTTTGGGGGGCCTTGCTCTGAACCCCCCAGTAGGATATCAGTAAAAGAGTATTATAGATAAAAAAGATTATCGTTGGGGGTAACTACTAGAATAATTCCACGGTAGAAGTAGGAGGAATCGTGGCTGGGATTTCTGCCAGGACAGGCTGCTCGGAACAACACATTTAGCACTTATTGTCTTGTGTCTTCACCTCTCAGGTCTTCATGTTATCTCTAACAGTGGGGCAGTGACAGAACCTACTAGGTACCATTGTGAAGAGGTTAAATGAGATACTGTTATAATGCCTGATTGGGTCTGGATTTTGCCATTTGCCCGCCCCCCACAGTTCAGTTACCTGTGGCCAAGCATGGTCCCCAAACACTATGATGTACAATAAGATGTTCTGAGAGAGGACAGCATTCATGTCATTTCAATTGCAGTATATTATTATAATTGTTTTATTTTACTATTACACATTATTATTAATCTCTTACTGTACCTAACTTATAAATTAGACTTTACCAGAATCTGTCCGGACAGAAAAAACCACAGAAGACACAGAATTCAGGAGAATGTGGTGTCAGGCATTCACTGGGGGTCTGGGGGTGTATCCTCTGTGGGTAAGGGGGGACTGTTGCATGTTTTCTGGCACTAATAAGATGATTTTTCGAATATAGACTGGTGCAGAAGAGAGAAATAAAAAACATTTGTTAGGAGGGGGGTGATGGGTGAAATGTGAAAATTGCGTTACTTTTAAGATATTCACCCCACCCTCCGCCGTTAGTAAAAAGATATGTGCCTCTTGGCTGGCACTTAAGTCCTGGTCTCTATAGTTTTAAAGCTGATCTGCTGAAAAGGACGAGATTTTCTGGTTTAATACATACAAGATTTCACCTGTACGAGAAATTGCCGCTCTCGGCGGGCAAAGGTGGTTGAGGAAGATAGGGGTTTTGCTTCACTGTACGGAAAATGTTCCAGAGATGGTTAGAATAACGGCTGGTGCGGTTTCCATAGGGCGCTCTGCCCACGGAGGTGGCTGAACGCACGCGCTTTTAGCGCCCCCTAGTGGCGATCGAACCGGGCCCGCCAGCGAGCTGGGAACGAGGCTTTTGGGTCTGGTGGGACCGGGGGAGGCAGATTTGGGAATGGGGTGGGCGCCAGGTAGTCTGAGAAGTTCAGTGAGACACAAGAGTTAGTCTTGCACTGCTTTACCACTATCAGTTTCCTGCTTTTATTTCACCTGATTTATGGATTGCTTATGAGTGAATAATTTGTTATTAGCCAAAACATAACAAAGTAATTATTAAAATTTAATTATTTTTCTTGTGGTAGAAATGCCGACTTGATTTTACCCCTATGCGTTTCTCCCACTTATTTGGTTTCTGACCAGTTGAGCAGTGAATTGACAAAAGGTAGCAGTTTCCCACTGCAGGTTTGCAGTGGGATTGGACTCTACACTGCTCTTAGCAAAGTTAATTATTCTTTTCGAATCCAGAAAACAAATTTCCAAACAAAAAGAAAGATGAGGAAGTGGTGTCAGGATGAAGTGTGCCAGTCCCCCCAAATCTTTTCAGAAGCAATTCTGCTTCCAGTCTGAAAATTGTCCTTTCCCACTTAAAAAGCTATAAAACATACTGATTTTTTTTTTTTGATTCTAGAAGAGTATGTTTTCTTTGTTTGAAATGTGGGCACTAGAGCCAAAAATAGTAGAAATAAAATCACCTACACTGTAAACATTTTATTTTATTTTATAAAGATGTATTTATTTATGAATACATACCCCAGTATGTAACTGGGGTTACCAGAGGTGCAGGGGCGGCGAGAGGCTTCACCAGAGTCAGAGTGGGGAGCAGAACAGGAAGATGGACGAAGGACAGTGCTGAGGAGAGCAGCGGGAGGGTCAGGAGAGGTCTGCGGGCCATGTGGTCACCTCCTGCTAGGGATCGAACTCACACTCAAGGGGCTGCGGCTGGCAGGTCTTCAGATGAAAGGGCCGTCACCATGGCGGGGGCAGGTGGGGGGAGGTAAATCCTGCTTCCTTCTGGTGCTCTGAACAGGGGAAGGCAGTAGACTTGTCTGAAACTCTCAATTTTTTGAAACCCTGGAAGCCCGCTGTAAACCTTACCAAGAAAGCCTGGCTCCATCAAACATTCTTTCCTGATTTTTCTTATACCATCCTTGTGGTTTTTACATTACATTTTGCAATAGGAAGGGTTGACCTTTTGCTCTGGGAGTTGGGTGTGGTGGGCTGGGCAAGCAAAGGGGTTTTGGGGTGTTGACTCTGGGGAGAAGGTCCTGGGGTGGGGCTGGCCTTGGACATCCGGGCCCAGGCTGAGGCCCACAGAGGGCAGGGCCTGCCTGAGACTGCCTGCAGCGTTCTGAGCTGGGCACCCCTGTGGCATCAGGCTCAACACCGCCGAGGCTGTTTCAGGACAGTCGAGGCTGGAGGTGGGAGTAGCGTCCTGGAGTTTGTGGGCTTCAGCCCATGAGAGGGATTAGGCTGGAAAAGGCTGCTGTGGGGAGGTGGCATCTGAAGGCGGAACCCAGAAGAGCCTGCATTTGAGCTTGAATAGGTAACAGGGGTGGGGGGTGGCAGCTTGCTGGTGGGGATGGCTTCTGTCAAGTTGCTTTCGTGTTTGGCTTAGAGTGGGTACGATTTCCATTTTTATGTTGTCTGCATCCTCTCAAATTAACCTCTGTGTAAAGTGTTCTTTCAGTGAATATTGCTAATTACTTGTCAAGGGATTTCCTGCACCTTTACTATGATGAAAAAAAAAAATGGTGATGTTCTTATTTTTCAGGTTAAACTGGAGGCTTCATCTGTTTGCTTCTGCAGCGTGTACCGTGACGAGCCTCGGCATAAAGTATTGGTCTTGGTCCGTCCCTGGGACACAAAGACAGGTTGGTAATTATTCTTATTATTTTTTAAATATTTATTTTTTTATGCTTACAAGAGCTGGAGTGTAGGTCAGAGGTGCGGGAGGGTGAGAGGTGTCACGGGAGACAGAGTGGGGAGCAGAACAGGCGGATCTACAGAAACCCACTGCTGAGGGGAGCAGCGGGCGGGTCAGGAGAGGTCTGCTGCGCCCTGTGGGCCACTCCTTGGCCGGGGATCGAACTTGTGTGCAGTGGCTGGCAATAGCCTTATAGGGCTCAGACTTAACCTCTTGTGCCACCAGCGAGCCTCCAGCTTGGTCGATTTTAGTGGATTTTGATCACAGAGGTCCTGGTTAAATTGTTTATAAGTCACGGAATCAAATGCTTAGGAAATGACGCTGGAGCTCTTTGGCTGAAGGTCTTCGGAGAACAGCGAGGCGGGAAGGATGTATTTTCAGTGTTTTCCAGTAGCTCATGATTGTGCCCTGTGGGCTGTGTGCTGTCTGCGTTTGGGTTGAACGGTGGTTGAGCGGCGTGAAGGGTTGTGTCCTCGGGTGGAGCCTTGTGTGGGAGCATACCATCGTCCCTGGAAACGCAGGACCGCGCCCTGAGGACAGATGAGGATGTGAGACCTGTCAGTGGTCACAGGCCACGCCCAGGCCACACAGCTAGAGCAGCGTGGGGGTTTGTTTCTGGTGAGCTGTCCCTGTCATCTGTAACTCATGGACTCTCCCTCGTGTCCCAAAGAGCATTTGGGCCGCTGCCAGCCCCCAGAGTGAGTTCTCTGAGTACAGCTGGATCTCTGGGCTCAGTTGCACGTGGAGCCGGTTCTGGGGCTGTTGGCACGAGACAGCGGAGATGGCGAGGAGGAAAGGGCCCAGCCTGTGGGTCACCGGAGCCCAGGCACCAGTGAGATGCAGGCAGAGCGCCTGCCTCTGGGCTTGAAGGCCGCCCGTTTCAGCTCAGGCCTTCACTTAGACATTTTCTCCGGCTCCCCTGTTCATGTTCTACACACTGTGTGTTGTGGCTTGTATTGCTGGTCTAACTAGAAAGGAGAAAAGAGCCAGCAGCCTTCGTCCGTCAGCCCACTTTAAATGAGGGGGTGTTCGGTGAAAGTTTGGGGTCACGGGTCTTGGCAGCTCAGCTCTGCCCCTCCCCTGGACTCAGGATGTCTGTCAGGGGCCCTGCTCAGAGGGTGCCTGACCAATGGGTGTCAAGAAGCCCCAGGTGACATTTCCGACCAGGGAGCTTGTCCCATTTCTCCGTAGGCCTGGTCACTGTGTCGTCTGCTGTCGCTGGTCTGGAGATTTGAGTGTGTGTGCGAGCTCTCGGGAGTTCTCCGTGGCTCCCAGGTGAGGGGTACCCCACTGTGTCACTGTCTCTGGACCCCCTGGGGCTCTCCCTTCTTGGCAAAGCCCTGGCCGTGAGCCATGGGGCTGGGACGACCCCAGCCTCTGACTTCACCTCACATGTGGGGCTTGATCGCTGGGTTGGTGGAAGTCCCAAGCTGTGCCCACAGGAACGCCTCAGTGAACAGATTGTCAAAAACGCTAAAAATATCAGCTGCCGATTTTGAGAAAACGTTCAAATATCAGCAGCCCTCCCCTCTGCCTTTTTGCGGCATTTACCAATATTCTGGTTATAGGCCTTGAAGTACAATTTGCATAATGTAAACATATGCCTGACTCATGTAAGTCTGTTTCCTATTTCTACTGTACTTAATTTTTGGTTGTTTTCAAGAACGTATTTAATAAATATTCAGAGGCCCCAAGAACTCGCCCTCCTTCTGTGCAACAGGACTTTAGGTGAGGGTTCCAAATGCCTGTGCCCGGCCGGGGTCTGGGGCTCGGCACCACGCGGATCACACCTCCTGTGGCTGGAGATCACGGGCTTCGGAGAGGCCGATAGCTCGTCGCTTTCAGGTTCCCTACTTGCGTCTCTTCTCCTGCCGGCGTGGCTGTGACTGGGAGGACGCTGTTGGTGGCTGGTTCCTTTCCTTGCCCATGACAGGTTGTGACTGCCAGGGCTGTGTGTCTGTGTACGCATGTGAGCTCGGATGGCAGCTAAGGGACCCGAGCTGTTTGATATATTTTATTTTATTTATAATAGTTTATTTTTACATGCTTTTGTTCATTTTTCCATCTCAGTTGCAATCCCCTTGGGCTTCCCATCACCAAATCACACATGTGCCATCACCATAGTCCAGTGCATTTCCCTCCCCCCACTGTTTTTGATCCCATTCCCCACGCCACCCCCACAAAATGTCTCTGGTATATAGCTGTTCATCATTATCACTAATTTCTCGCCTGTTCGTTATATTCCTGTTATGAGAGAAACCATCCAGTGTTTGATATTTTTTTAAAGATTTATTTATGCATTCAAGAACTGGGGTGTAGGCCAGAGGTCTGGGGGAAGGGTGAGAGGATTCACTGGAGACAGAGTGGGGAGCAGAACAGGCAGATCTACTGAAACACACTGCTGAGGGGGGCAGCGGGGAGACTGGAGAGGTCTGCTGGTCCTGTGGGTCAGCTCCCTGGCCGGCCAGGGATGGAACTCGAACTCATGTGGCTGGCGACAGCCTATAGCACTGTCTTTAACTCCTGCACCACCAGGGTTGCTCTCATAATTGTTAGTTATTGATAAGCTGGTTGAATCCATCATGGTAACTTCTCTAACCCCAAGAACAAATGCAAACCTTCCCGGAGTCCCTGGTAGCGAGCACTTAATATGCGGTGGGCTGCTGTAGGGGTGTGAAGAGGTATGGGCCATCCTCCCGGCCCCCCTTTCTTTAAAGATGGCTGAGACACAGAAGCTGGCCCCTGTCGCCCCCTGCAGGCTTCATTTCTCATGCTTTTCTAATCAGGCTGGCCGATGTCCCCAAGGGGATGGGACAGCAACCGCCCTTCCTTGTGGCCAAAACTCTTATCTTTTATTTTTTTCCCCTTTTTTTATTCCCCCTTGTTTTGGTAGTCTTATTTTAAAACCATTAAGTGATGTCAAAGGCCTACAAAGATTAAAAAAAACCACCCTGCTCATAAAAAATGCAGTGACCTTTCCTGTCTTTTGTGTTAAATCAAAACTGCCCTTCCATGGTGGCCTCTGTCCTCTGCTCCCATGACCGGTGGAGGAGGGAGGGATGATTTTGCTGTCAGATACAACTGGCTGGGCATCTGGCTCGGACAGGGGGGCTTTTGGCCTTTGTGAGCTTCAGGTGGGTCGTTCGCAATGTGGGGACACCTTAGCTATTTCTTCAGGTCACTGTGAAAATGGTTTGTGGCAGAAAATCCGATGCTTCAGGCCCTGCAGGGCAGGGCAGACGCCGCCTCCAGTCTCCTTGCCGACGGCACGCCTCTGCCTCTTCTCCCCGACCGAGCGTTGTGTTCCAGGAGCCACAGAGAAATCAATTGCAGGAAAACTGGCAGCTGACTTACCTCCCTGACGGAGTCTGCTTGCAAACCTCAGGCACAGCGCGGGGCTAACGCCACCAAGGGTGATCGAGTAGGGTCCTGAGTGCCCCAACTGTAAGGCTGCTGTTCCGTCTGCTGGTCCTAAAGCACCTGCTTGGATATAGTTGCGCAGCCTTCCAGAAGCACCGGCTGGGCCCCTGCTGGCGTGGGGGTTAAAGTCTCAGTGCGTCAAGCTATCGCCAGCCACTGTGGCACAAGTTCAATCCCCGGCCGGAGCTGACCCACGTGGCTCGGCTGACCGCTCCTGTCCCGCCCCCTGCCCCCCTCAGCAGTGTGTTTCAGCCGCCCACCTGTTGTGCTCCTCACTGTCTTTCTGGTGAATCTCTGTCACCCTCCCGCACCTCTGGCCTACACCCCAGCTCTTATATGCTTAAACAAGTAAAACTAAGTGTTAAAGACAAGGATGTTGAAAGCAGCAGCCTGGGCTGGAGGGTGCCTTTCGCAGCCCTCAGCACAGGGCGCCGTTCTCATCCTTGGAAGGGCCGCTGGTCCCCTGAAGCAGGCTCCTGGAAAGGCACGTGACCTGGGCTCCTTAAGGGAAGAATAAACCTAGCTAAGTTGTGGCCCCATCCTTCCGGGCTCTCTGTGATGCTCCGGCCGTGTCCAAAGCACGACGATGTCTGTGAGGAGTCACTGGGGTCACGGGGGCTTGAACCCATTGGAACCAGAGTGCGGAACCAAGTCTCCTTCGAGCTAGAGGGACAACATGGGATCCCAGGGGTTCTCTCTGAAGAGTACTTAGATCACTAGGCCCAGTGTTTCCCAAGATTCTGGCTGTTGAATTTCAGAAGGGAAAGAAAGATGAATGATCATTTAATTTTATTTCCATTTTTACTAGATCAAGAGAAAATTTTCTGTTCTCTGCTTATCTAACATTCGTTGAGTTCCTTTAACAAAAATTGGCCTCTAAGCCTAGTGCCTTGGCTAGATTGAAGATTTGTGTGTGTAAGGTTTGTTTTTATAATCACAGCAAATGACACCTTGCTGGAGGGCTAATCAGGAGGTATGCCGATCTGTCCATCTGTTGGAATTGAAAGTGTGCCTAGACCACGTGCAGATGTTAACAGGCACAAGGAAGGCACTGAGCCTCTCTGACAATTAGGGAAATGCATATCAAAAGCACAGTGAGCTATCACTTCATTTCTTTACAAGAAACTGGTGTTGATGAGTCTGTAAAGGGACCTCCCGTAATTTAAAAATGCTGATTTTTATTCATGCAGTCACTGTCCCATTGAGTACCTTCTGTTGGTGGGAACGAAAATTGGTGTAGACATTATGAAAACAGTGTGGAGATTCTTCAGAAAGTTAAGATTATAAGTACCATATAATCTGGCTACCTCACTTAGGGTATTTGTCCAGAGAACGGAAAGCACTAATTCAAAGAGATGCACCCGTATGTTCACTGCAATGCTAGTCACAACAGCCACCGATTGGATAAGTGCCCTTCAGTGGATAACGAAGATATGGCTTATATACATATGGAATAGTATTCAGCCATAAAAAGGCGAACCCTGCCATTTGCAACAACATGGGTGGATCTATAGGGCATTATGCTCA